GGAGGCGGGGGGGGGGGGTTGTTCTGAAGATTTTCAAGGCAAACTTACCAGAATAGTTGGTCTGGCCAAAGTTGCCGAAAAGACCAGCAGCGGAGGCAGTGTTGATGACACGGCCGTACTTTTGTTTCCTGAAGTAAGGCCACGCTGCCCTCGCGCACTTGTAGGCACCCTTGACGTGGACCTTGAAAATGAGGTCCCAGTCCTGATCCTTCATGTTCTTGAAGCTGATATCCCGGAGGATACCGGCGTTGTTAATAAGGACATCGATGCGGCCGAACGCCTTGATGGCCGTCTCGATGATCTTGTCGCCATTCTCGACCGAGTCGTAGTTGGCAACAGCCTTGCCGCCAGCAGCCTTGATCTCGTTTACGACAACATCTGCAGCCTGGAAGTAGAGAGAAGCAATGAGATTAGCCACAGATCCGCCGCCAGCTAGGGAAGGGGGGTATTCTGCGTGGCGCAACCTACCTTGTGAGAGGTGCCCTCGCCCTTGAAAGAGCCACCGAGATCATTGACCACGACGCTCGCACCGCGCGAGGCAAAGAACAGGCAGTAAGCCTTGCCAAGACCACCGCCAGCACCAGTGACAACGACGACCTGGTCGTCGAACCGCAATTGATCGGCCATGGTGTGCTGTGTGCTGTGTGTGTGAATGGGTTGGTAGACGCGGAAAAGAAGAGGCGGCGGGGTATGGGGAAGGATGAACAGTGATGAGGAGAAGAGCAAAACACCTTTCGTCTCCAAGAAGATGTTTGTGCAAAAGCAGATGCGTCAAGAAGATGAGAGAGTCAGGTAAAGTGAGATCTGGAGAAGATGTGAGACGCAAAAGTATCGACTCGAGTTATGTATGCATGTGGTAATCGGGCCAATGTCCCGGCCCGGCAACTGACCTGGGATTTTGGTGGTAGGATTTGGAGAAGCCGCTGTAGCTGTAGCGCACTGAAGCTCAGGCGAGCCGAGGCACCTTTTGCTGAGCCCGCGTGATTGCCGAGTGTCCACAGGGCCCACCACGACCATTGGGAAGCGCTCCCCCAGCGCTGGTTGCTGACTGGGGTGCGCTGTGGGGAAACCTCGCTGAGGGCACTGAGGAAGCTCGGTCCAAAACAGGACGCCCATGACGGCCACAGGGGATCCATCATGGCCTTGGTGACCCCGACTTTAGTGTGGGCTGCCACGCAAACCTGGGTACCCTTTCGCACCTTAGCCACCAACTACAGTAAACTGTGTGAGCGCAACCATGTGTCGCAGCCTGTGGTTGTCCCCCAGAAACGCTTTTCACATGCCAAAAAATGAAGTCATTCATAAGTAAGCTTGCGCGCTCGTTTCTAAAAGTACTCAGTCCAATTGCATGAAACACATATCTGGCTTTGCATCTGATTTCTGACTAAGAATGCAGCGAAAGCTTTCATTTTCCACCACCTCAGTCAATCAATCAGTTGCTGGAGAGGACTTGCTGCGAGCTTTATTGCCAGAAGAATGTCGAGAGCGGCTGCTGGATTCTGCCCGGTGAGTGAGTTTCGGCATGCAACAAAACAGCCGGGAGCCTAGCGGGTTCTTGATTACCCGCTCAGATTATCCGCCGACCTTGACGGAATCTCACTGATTCAACACCATTCAGTACTTGCACTTAAAATCCAAGACTGCTTGCCCAGGCACCCCGCACCCCACATTCCCCCATCAGCCTTGCCATAGCCTTTGCTCTCAAGTGAAAGCGGCTATTAGTTGCGAGGCTTACCTACCTAGGTCGATTTTAGGTATTTACTTTTGTCTTTCTAAGATATTATTAAATCGCGAATACAGGGTCCGATTTACGGAGACAAGAATACAGATTTGTTACAAGCAATTTTGACCTGAGGTTCTTGCTATTCTTCAAGCTCTTTGCTCATTGACTTGACTACTGCCATAAAGAAACGGGTGGACCAAGATACAAAAGATACTCGAATTCAGCTTGCCGCTCCTGAATGCACAAGGGTAGTCGAGGTCGACAGCAGCAGACCATGACCCAAACCCCAGACGTGCCCCTCCAGTCCCGCATCATCGACGACAAGTCGCCGATATGCATCCCCTTCATCCTCGAGCGCCTGCACGCGCGCAATAAGAGGCTAGAGTCCTCCGGCGCCGCGCCCTCCAAGCGGCCCTTCATCATCGGCCTCAACGGCGTCCAGGGCGTCGGCAAGACCACCCTCGTCCGCGCCCTCGCCGAGACCCTGCAGCGCCGCGAGCTCCTCCAGACCCTCGTCGTCAGCGTCGACGACTTCTACCTGCGCCACGCCGACCAGCTGGCCCTGGCCGCCGAGCACCCGGACAACGCCCTGGTGCAGTACCGCGGCGAGCCCGGTGAGGAATTGAACTTTTGCCTAGCCCTACCTCCCTCCTCCTCCTCCTCCTCCTCCTCCTCCTCCTCCCCTTTCTCCTCCTTCTCCT